AGTGAGTAGAATTTTCAGCTTCGTACTTCAAGGAGAGCGTATCACCAATGTTTTCCGTTAGCCATGTCCTTAACGCTGCGTTTCTCAATTTATGGGTTGTGGTAGGTCGCGGAATGACCTTAGATAGGTCCATTAAGTTGTCCAGATTGATCAATTTAATTGTTATGTAAATTAATCTGAATTTAGAATTATGTTAGGATATTCCTAATCGAGCTAAAATAAGGACCTATTCCAAAATAAATAAAAAGTTACTAAAAACTAAAACAAATTTTCAGCAAAATTAAATCTAACTTCTTAAAGAAATCCTTGGTGAACTGCTTTTGGAGTAGCGTGAAGGGGGGTTATTTCACGCACTTAACGCGGGAAATTTACACTTCAAGCTTATTGCTTATCGCATATTAGCTAATTGCGTGCTCTCAACTTAGTGTTCTAAGATGCACTTCCACAGTTATTAATTGAGAGCCTTCGATGCTTGTACCATTTTTGCATTAGTATAATTGTGTGGCAAATATAAGGGGCTGTTCATAAACTACGTAGACTCTTTGTGTGGGGGGGGGAGGGTTGAAAAATGTCTACGATCCATACAAATTTAAAAAAAATGTATGGGCGATTGTCTACGCGGGGAGGGGAGGGGGTCCAAAACCTCTAAAAGCCGGTTTACGTAGTTTATGATCAGCCCCTAATCATACTCTATGCCCAAGGAAGTCGAGAAATTTTCCAACCCGAAAAATTCCTAAACCGGACCGGGATTTGAACCAAGCCACCTCCAGCATGATTTTGCTTTGTAGCTGCGCCTTTACCGACTGAACTAAGGGAGGTCCCATCACTTCAAGGATAATGTTTTCATTAAAAGGATGTGGAAATTAGAGACAGGAATAGGGAGCATGAATAAGGAACCGCGAATGAGGATAGCCACAGCTTACGGGATTTTCACTAATAGGGGCTGTGGTGGATTATGTCATTAGTTTCAGTATATAAAGCAGAACTGTCTTGGACAAAGTTGTTGAACTGGGTTAGACCAACAAGCTTGTGGCATTGGATATAAGTTTAATTGGGAACTACGCCGCTAGAGGCGCTTCACTTTCATATTACTTATGACGGGTGTTATGGTGTGATCATGGCCGTATAGAAACTTGCCGTTTTGAGCAAAGTTGTTCAGGTGATCAAGTCCTTTTGGATGCTGGTCATATTAGTTCAGAACTCTCTCACTACGCGGCGCTAGTGTGCATGCGAATTTCCTATATGAGCTATATCTCGAAATCCCGGCTATATAGAAGGTTACTGTCTTGAGCTAAGTTGTTCAGATGGCTATGGTCTTTCGTCTGCTGGTCATATTAGCTCAGAACTCTCTCACTAGGTGGCGCTAGCGTGCATACAAACTTCCTGAATATGCTATGTCTTGAAGCTTACCCCGTATAGTATGTTGATGTGCAATGTGAGTATTTTCGGAACAGGGGTGACGTGTAGAGGCCAAAAATCTAAACTGGAATCTAAGATGGCGACCATCGGTTTTAGGGTTGAAACAGCGAAACGATTTCGGTTGTTATTGATAAACTACTCGTTGTTTATTCGTTGTATTACCCTTCTGCACTGCATTGTATAATTTGTCTACGTTCCTTAGACTAAGTTTTCTGGTGGTTTTGGCGTTTTTTAAGCAATACTAGAATTTTCAGGCCATTCTGGATGAAAATTTCAATAGGTCCTATCTGCTTTGGTCGATTCTCTTCATCGACTTTCTCTTTTGATAACCACTGATACGCAAACAGATTTCGCCCTTTTTTACCACATTGTTTATTAAAAAAGGTTCTTATCTAGCGTCCAAAACGTCAAATACAGCTGAGTTATTAACGAAAGAGAAAGTCAATGAAGAGAATCGATCAATGCAGATAGGACCTTTTGAAATGTTTATCTAGAATTGTCAAGTAATTTTGGTGATTCTGGGCCATTTTGGCGTTTGTTATGGCGTTTTAGTCGCATTAGGCCATTTTAGGAATTATGTATTAGTTTTTTTTCGTAATTTAATAAAATACATAATAGATCTGAGGATTTAGTAGTTAATGTCATCTTGTGTTCTCCCAAGTTGTTAGCTGCCTATCGGTGTACCCCCATGTTTCTTTTTCATCAGAATGTCGCTTAATTCGAGATCAAGGGCACATTGCTCTCCAAACCTTGTGTTTTCAATCCCTACCCTGCCATCGACTTGCTACAATTTGTTACCCCTAGCCTCGAGATAGCCGCGAGTAATCGGCCCCCGCTTTACTAACGTTAGTTTTAATTAATTTTGTAATCCAAACAATGAATATCGGCTCCGCAAAGCTGCAGCAAATGAGCCTGGCAAAATAAACTCATTATTTAAAAAAAAATGCAATGTTTGAAAAAACAGCCATTTATTGGTGAATTTAAAATCTATTGGTGCCATTTGAAACGACATACTTTAAAGATTTATTTGGTATCAATAGATTTAAAATCTATCGATAAATTGCTGAGAAATGATTTTTCAAACATTGCCAATTTTCCGTTACACATTTGCCTCCGGTAAGCATCGTGTTCGGAGTGTTAAGAAGCTACTTAAGGTGCTTTTTATGACCTAATAATAATCCAACTGATATATTTTACACCACATAATAAATAGCAGCAAGTTGTTCCATTATCCAAACCATGTTTGATTATTTGATTAAAATTTTTAAATCAATTCTGCCATATATGCCATATGTAGCCTTCTTGAAAATTTTAAAATCACCACCTCATTGCAGTTTACTGCAAAACAAGGCAATGCTATTATGATGCTTTGCTACGGGTGTCGAGTTCTTCCTGAATCCATCCCCTGCTTCCTATCTCTTTCTCCCTCAACTCGAACCGTTTATCTCCGTAAAACCCGATCACCAATCAGTCGGATTTCCAACTTTTGCAAATTTTTGGAGGGAGTAATTGGATATGAAGAGCTCCGGAAACGATGACGCCATCCGAGGTAAACACAGTTCCCGGATTCCCTTGCTGCTGCTGCTGCTGCTGCATTACGCCCGTCACTTCGGAAATGGGTACCTTTCTCTTTGGTTCACTCTCTCTTAGTGGAAGCAAGCCCCGTACACCCCACAACACCCCACCAGCGACCAACAACGCAGAGAAGCGATTTAGTACCTTACCTATAGTAACATCAATAACAACAAAACCTGCAAACGGCACCACGTCCACCGCCACCCCCTTCTGTCGGTCGGTCGATCCGGGGTAACCTTCTCCATTTCTCCGCTTACATAACATCTCACTTTCAGGCCGTCACCACCGACCGCCGTCGTAGTCGTCGCGGGGATTGCGCCTTTGGGTCTTTCTCCACCGCCGCCGTACAATTTCTTTTGTGTGGTGGTCGCCTTTCTTTTTTTCTTGCTGCAGCGCCTTTCGTGTACTTTTACCTGCCCGAGCTCTCACTCACTCTCATTCACTCTCAGCAGCAGTGCAATGTTTTGGATTGCTACTGCACCACCCGCCCGCCACTGAAGTCGACGTCGTTTCTGCTGGTGTGGGGCTGACTGAATTGCTGGGCTGCCTGAGCCTCTCACCACAGAACAGAAGGGGAAGTGCAAACAAATCGGTGAATCAAAAAGTGCTCGTTTTTCTGCTCAACGAGCGATGTGATGTGGTAGCGTTCCACATAGGCTTTCTATGTGCACTCACACTATCATAGCATGCTGCCTATCTTAACTACAGGCCGAAGATGCCTTCTACCGCTAGGTGCGCTAGTGTTCGCAAATGACCAGTGGAGCCACTTTCTGATTTGAAGTTCCACTCCTGTGCTCTCACTCTCCAATTTTCTTTCTCCGTGCATGGAGGCTCGGTTGTTGGTTCGCGTTGCGTTGCGTCGAGATATTGGAGGAGTTTGCGTTGAACCGTGTACGCGTGCGCCCGAGTGTTACCGTTTGTCCGATCCGTCCCATAGCAGTGAGTCGTGTTTCGATACTTGGCCTGGCCTGGTAAAGTGTCATCTCGCGTCGCTTGGTTTGATATTGAAGATCGTCGCGAGAACAACGACGCGTGGGTGTATGCCAGTGTTCTGGATCAATGATCCCTCTGTAGGAAGATTTGAAAGTTGCAATATTCAGTGCGCGCCCCTTCTTCGCTGCTTGGTGGTGAAATCTCCAGCGAAAGAGCAGAGGATTACATAATTGTGACCAGCAAAAGCAAAAGTGAAACCTGTGCAGCAGTGTGAAGAGTGTGTGTGTGTGTGTGTCTTCTGTGAAACTGCAATGAACGAAAAGTGTTTAGAGACAGCATCGACGACCACTCCGGTGGCCGTGATTCCACCGAGATGTCCCATAACTCCCAACACCATCCGATCTACGACGACCATCCCGACGACTGCGAGCGATCCGGTCCTGGAAACCACGACTTCCGCCCCGAGCGATCCGTCCTCGGGCGTTTGTTCCTGCAGTTGCTCAGACGGAAGTAACAATTCGGAGCTGGCCACATCAACGACCCCAACCACCACCGACGATGACCTCGAGGAGAGAAAATATATCTTCAAAATGAAACTGAATTACTATAATATCTATCTGGTTACGACCAGCTATCGAAAGGAAAGGCGATTTTCTCTTTTTTTTGCTTCTTTTACATAACCATGTGCTTGGCGGCGGCGGCGGCGGCGGCGGTGGCAGTGGCGGTCGCCGTTGCTCCATGCCGATCGCGCGCGCGCTTTCTGTTGTGTCTGCGCCTCCGCGTTGCGCCTCGTGGCCCCTCAACCCGCACCCAACCCGCCGTCCAACTTCCACTTTCCCCTTTCCAACCCATCAAACTTCCATTGTTACTTAAGAGCCTGGGAGAAAACCAAAGACCCATGTGTCTCGGTGTGTATGTGTCTGCATGGCTTTGTCTTTGGAGCTCAAGCCCACACATAACAGAAATGCGCGCTATCGATAATTATGAATGATGCTACAGATTCTACCCTAAACGAAAAACCTTTCACCATTTATCTTATGGTCGTTTTCCATTTCTTTCTCCTATACTTGCAGGTCAAAGTCGTAAAATTCAGCTACATGTGGACTATCAACAATTTCAGCTTCTGTCGGGAAGAGATGGGCGAAGTGCTGAAATCCTCCACCTTCTCCGCCGGTGCTAACGACAAACTCAAATGGTAAGTGTCAGTAGCAGTGATGTTCCAAACGACAAGAGTTCCATTACGATTAGTGACAGTCGATTATTGTGACGGTTATGTACGTGATTTATTGAACCGAGTTCAGCTCTGGAGGCCTCCGATAGCTTAGACAGTAAAGGCGTGGTATTACCAAGCCGGAGGCGATGGGTTCGAGTTCCAGCCCGATCAATCCTTCGGGTTGAAAATTTTCTCGACCCCTCTGGGCAAGGAGTAAAAAAAATGTGCATTTGTTGGCATAGGCATACTAGAAAAGCTCTCAATTAATAACTGTGGAAGTGTGCTTCTAGAACATTAATTTGAAAGCAGGTGAAAAAACGTTAAAGTGTGTTAAAGTCAGAAAGAAGACAAGAATTATGCATAATCCCTGCAATAAGTTTGCAGGGGTGTTTGCTTTGGAATGTTTAGAAAAATAGAGTGCACTCTTGATCCAGTTTGGGATACATTATTGACTGCTTTAGAGAACGTAATTTCATTTTAATGTCTTGTTTAATCAGGGCCTTAAAAATCTTTACGTCGGTCATAGCTTGTTATGATGTAAAACTGTAAGAGGCACCATAGCCTAAACAATGCGTAAAGAGCAAATCGAAGCATTGAACTTCGGGTGAAAGAGGAACTTAATGAAGGCCTAAGTGCTTTTTCGTAGCTTTTAGATTTCGGATTTGAAAGATCGTCGGTTGCAGTGGCTTGCTTACTGAGCAGAAGAACGCGGTCCCAGGTGCTTTCATTTTAAAGAGATTTATAGTCAAATCGCTTGTTTATCGTGTATTTTGCGGAAACTTGTCGTCGTCGGTGCCGGGTTTGAATGGTTACAACAACTCGAGTAAAGGTATGATGTGATATGAGGGGCTCGGTGGCCTTAGAGCGATCGTTTTTGCTTACTGAGCAGAACATTATGAGTCTAATCTCAGGCCCATCCACTTTCAAGATTCTTCAATTGCTTTATTTGTTAATGTGACTGCTTGGTAATAGCAATAACTCGATGATCAAAAAGGAGCTCGTTTGCCTAGTGGCAAACGTTTTTGCTTATTGAGCAGAAGATCGTGGGTTCAATCCCAAGTTCCTTCGCGTTAAGGCATCAATTTAGTAAATCGTTTACCAAAACGAACCCTGCTGCAATCCCAACCCTCTTCCTCGTGGAAGTGCAGAGGTGTTATCGGCTTCCATCAAAGCGAGTGTCACGTCAACACATTCCTACCCATTCCTTTCTTGACCTGTGTTCAGGCGCGGCAGGCGCTGGATGATTGCTAGCTCCAAGCATCGTCTATTGGTTCTCTGTGTAATTACAGCTGATCTGGCAATAACAGAGTAGCAACCGTGTGCGCTCAATCAAGCTCATTATCATACTCATGCTCATCACTATCTTGGACATCTTCATCAATGTTTCAAAAGGCCTAAACTGCCTTTGAAAACGATAGTTTTAGACGTAAATTTAACGCTAATAAAAGCTCACTCATGCAAACTAACAACATCTTCAAGTAGAGGAGTGTTCCCTTTACCAGCAGGCTTTGTTAATTTGCAGGATTGAATTTTTATTTGCGAGAAAGCGGTTGATGAAGCAATTGCTTACAAAAGCGGTTTCGCCCTAATCAAATGTTGGCAACGATTAGAGCATTTCCATGTCACATAGCAAAAGAACCCAGCCAACTCCAGCATGGTCTTGCTTTGTAGCTGCGCCTTTACCGACTGAGCTAAGGGAGGCCCAATTTTAGTAAATGTGAGAACCTTTCTTCAAACTGCTAGGGTAAATGAAGGCTTCAAAAATACTTACTACTTAACCTACTATCGTCAGGGGGTAAACAACATCCTTGAGAGCTCCATTTTGGCATAATACATTGTGTTTCAGAGCATCTGTTGGCCAAGTTTGAGTGCTCTAGGACTTTGTTTACTCCCTGACGATAATAGGTTAAGTTATTGCCGACGCCGACATTTCCCCTATATTTTTAAGAACGAAGAGGCAAATGAGCTTAACTTTTGATTCGTTTATAAAGAAAACATGGATCTTTCATTTGGCTCAATCTTTATTAAAATAGCTTTAGCACAAAGTTACAACAGTTTAATTTTGATTGTGAAAAAAACATGGCTGTTTATTGACATTAATATTGCTGTAAAATTCTCATTTAACTTTTGTTTTGGCACAAAAAATAAGGGATAATGCCAAATAGGGGAATTTACGTATTCTCGTCAATCTAAGCAGCTTCCGCACTTCTATTAGCATTTTCTCAGTGTCACACACACATATGACGTGTCTGTTTGTTTACATTCATCTGCTGCTAGCTATTCTATCCATTCCAATCAACAAAACTGTCCAAAACGGTTTGAAAACGTTATTAAGGCGCTCCAAACTTCTCAGGTGAGTGTGACTATTGTCGGCTGCCTCTTTTACTTCGGCAACCTTTCCGTTTAAACTGCGTGTAAACCAGCTGTTCTATTATCGGCAACTCGAAATCAGCCGTATTTTGATGTGCTTATGTTTCTTTTGCAGAAACACCTGGCATAACAGGTTTGCTCAGTCGTAAAAATGTATAAGGATGGAAGTTGAAAGACTAAGGAATCGTTTAAATACATTCAGCGAAGTGTTTTAGTGAGAAAATACATCGAAATTAACGTTTAAATTGTCGTTGCCGAAAACAGTCGATGGCTGCCGAAGCCATCATTTACCCTATTAGAAGTTTCCACCAGTTAAAACAGAAGTTGAAAAGATATTAGAGTAAGTGAAAGTTCGTTTTGAGATTTTCTTTTTTTTATCTAGTTCATTTATTTGTAAGGCTCAATCGCGTTAGCTTTACTGAGCCGATAATTCATTGTGTTTTAAGATTTTCGACGCCTGTGCAAAATAAAACTCATTGTTTTAAAATTGTTTGGAAGGTCTTTTAAAACCAGACTTTTCCCCAAAAATCACATAAATCGGTGGTGTTTTCGAAAAACTATACCAGAGTGTCGACTTCTTTAAAAAAAAAACCTGGAAAATCAGGGAATCTCAGGGAATTCTATTTTAGTCCTGGGAAATCAGGGAATTTCTTTAAAAATCGGGGAAATATTTCTTAATCCTCTCTGACAAGTAGTATTGATCTCGCTAGTCTCATATAATTTAATTATTCGGTGCAGTTTTAGGATGTGTGTTAACTCTATTGATTGCTCAAACAAAGAACACAGTCTTCTCATATGTATTGTATAAAAACTGCAGATACATTAATGTAAGAACTGTCAAAATCCTATGAATTTACACGCTACTGTTCGAGAGATTCTCCTGAATGAACTTTGATGGATTTGAGCCGTCCCTAAGTTGAAGTGGGATCCAGAGGGACGGTAAAAATCCATTTACATCTTTTTTTTCCTTGTCGGGTATTTTCATCACTGCGGCCATTTTTCTGATCTATTGTTATAGATTCCCCATTTTTTTTTTTAGCTATATCAAGAAGCCATATCACTATTATTAGTCATCGTGTGACTACGAGCATTATCCCAGCACGGAATTACACTTCCAATAAAGTGCACTGCCTCCAAATGTCAAAGCGTTCTATCAGCCCCTTGTCGAAGAACTTACGCCTTTTATTGAAAATTGCCGGACAGTGGCATAGCAAATTCTCCGAGTTTTCCTTTTCTATGCCACAAAAGCGACATTGGGGAAATGGATGTAATGTCGGCCTGAATGCCCCTAATTTGGGCCCATACATAAATTCAGCAATCGACTAAATTTTCAATAGCGACCAAACATATCCATTAGTACCGTCCCAATGACGCTTTCATCTAGATGAAATTGATAAATAGCAGATTTTTAGCGATGAGCCTAATCTTAGATCCATAGGCCAACATTATTTCAATTTCCATTTCCATAGGCCAACATCATCTTGAACTTTTCCAATCAGCTTTAAGTGATAACGGCTCGTTATAAGACCTGTATATATGCTGAGATCTTTCTTAGAATGTTCCAGGATTTTGTGGGTCACAGAAATGTTTGCATTAATGAATCGCTTCGACTGCCTGGCAATGGAAGTGTTCTTCCTGTTTTCCTCCATTTTTGAAGATTCTTACGATTTTAACTCCATTCTAAGAGACGCAGCCGATAATCCACAAAAAGGCTTTGACCCTGAACTTATGAGAAGATGAGTCTTGCTAATGCATCAGCTCTTTCATTTCCGTCAATACCGCAATGACCAGGAACCCAACATAAGTGGACTTGATTATGAAAAGCCAATTTTTGAAGTGACTGAACAAACTCCCAGACACGTTTTGATGTACATTTTGTCGACTTTAAAGCATTTAGAGCAGCTTGACTGTCGGACATGAAGCATATATTTGAACTCTTATAGCTTCTACGCAAACGTGTGATAGAACACTCTAAAACTGCTTAGATTTCAGCTTGGAACACTGTTGGTCATCTGCCCATAGGAACCGATATGGGTCAGTTACTCCTGCTCCCACTTGATTGTTCAATCTTGAACCATCTGTATAAAAAGCAATCGAAGAACCGGATCACCAAATTGCCATGAATTACGCCCACGGTCAAATACTTGAAAGAGTCGATTGAAATTGTACCGTATCTCCATCCAGTCTTCGTTGTTCCTCACTAGAGAGCTGACCCAGTTGAACAGTTTTTAGAATCCTAATTACATTGTTGGTTGTGACAAGCGGATAAGCGCGTTTCTGGCGCTGTGTTCAGTTCGGTCCAACAAAAAATAAACCTCTGAAAATGGGTTGGAGCGTCTTTGTAAGAGATGTAAGAGATAGGCTATAATGTTGGCCTATGGATCTAAGATTGGGCCCAACGCTAAAAATCTGCTATTTATCAATTGTATCTAGATGATCGTGTCATTGGGACGGTACTAATGGATATTTTTGGTTGCTATTGAAAATTTAGTCGATTGTTGAATTTATGTATGGGCCCAAATTAGGGACACTTAGGCCGACATTACATACATTTCCCCTACATGTCTGAATACTTGTAGTTCTAGTTCCTCATTGTGTGCTTAAGAGCCGGA